TGGTTAGAAGGGTTCCCAGGAGTAAAGCGTCCAACTTCTAAAAAGAACGCCTTGCAAAGTTGCATTTGCATAACCCACAGGAGTTCTGGAACAATGTCCCTTGGACAGATAAGATCAAAGAGGACATGTTTGGACAAAATGCACAGCGGCACATTTGCAGAAAACAAAATATAGCTCAAACACTTCATGCTAATTACCAAACGTAACGGTCGGGGGGGTGATTTGGGCTTTTGCAGCCACAGGAACTGGGCACCTTGCTGTCACTGTCACAAACTCCTGTACATCAAAGTATTCTAGAGTCAAATGTGAGGCCATCTGTCTGACAGCTAAAGCTTGGCCAAAAGTGGGTTATGCAAAAGGACAACGATCCCAAGCACAACTCAAATCTACAACTGAATGGCTGAAAAGACAATAATTAGAGTTTTGAGTGACTCGACCAAAATTCACCCACTTAGATGTTACGGCAGGACTTTGAGAGAACTGTGTATAAATGGATGCCTGCAAACTTCAATAAACTGAAGCGACATGAGAAACAGAAGTGTTGCTGTGAGAGACATTAACATAAACAATCATGTGATTGAAATTCCCTTTGAAATTTACAGTATTGGCAGATTTGTTCAAAACAATATTTCCTTACTGTTAAAAATAATTTGCAAAAATACTTGATTCTAATATTATTTTAGTTTGCATACTATAATTTGCTGTAAAAAATATCGGTGCTTGTTGTTCCTCAAAGACATATGTATTTGCAGTATTCTGTGTTATCTTCTCTTTAAATGCTCCTTAAATCATTTTAAATGGATCTTTTGTCCAGATTCTTACATGAGTACTCCTTAAATGCTGTACAGTGCTGAACTTTTAGGTCAGTGTCGAGCGGCTGTAGACAGGTAACACACTACAGCAATGAGGGACTTACTGTGATGCTATGCAGTTAAAACAATGTTCTTGTGTGTGTGTGTGTTTATGTTTTTCTTTAAAAGGTTGATTTTTTTTCCTTTCAGGTTTTCATCCTCAAAATTAGGGAGACCTTGAGTCTGCTACTTGCCAGTAAACATATTGAGCCTTAAAAGGTCAGGAGGAAATGGAACACAGTGGGAAGAACAAAAAGGTTTACTTATTTCTTCAGGTCGAAGGAAAGCTTGAGGAATTTAAAGTAGCCACAGAGGGAAGACCTTGGATTTAGTACTATTACCGTACAACTGCTCCTGATGGCAAAGATATTGGACTGTGCATTAGCACCTACTAACAAGGCTGAAAAACAAAGACAGGAGTAGTAGGATGGAAAGGAGGGGGCCTAGGGGACATCTAATATTGGAGAGAGGAAAGGAGGAAGAAGAGATGAGCTTCAGGCAGAGAGAGCATAAAAGGTGAAATTGAGCAGTGATGAGTTAGTTTGATGGTGTGTGAAATTGTGGTTAACCTATCTAGTTGCTACGTTTGGGTAATTAGTGCCAATTTACAAAGATGTGTACTGACCTCCTCCCAGCCTCTCCCGTTGGAATAGGAGATAACATCAAGCAG